ATATATATATAATTTACATATGTGTGTGTGTGTGTGTGTGTGTGCCTGTGTTTTAAAATAAATACATACAAATACCCTGGAACAGAAAGCTCCAGAGACTTTACGACCTCAAATACACCTTGTAATTACTCCTCATTATGTCACAAATCTGTGATACACTAGGCGCTGACAGTGTGCTGGCGGCAACATGTGCCATGGTCGACATGCTTCAAGTGGCTTGGACCCCGGTAATAACTGTCACAGTTCTAGTCTATAGTTATGTTGATTTTGTTTTACCATAACGGCAAGTTCCTGTTACAAATTTAATAAATCAAAAGATTTCAGCACTAAGTCGATCAAGATTTCTGTTCAATACCCACACCGAAATCATTGTTTATATGAAATTGTGTGTCCCTTTTTTTTATGTGTAAAGGCATTTACTGTACAGCTTTTCTTCTCAGTTAATAATACTTCACACAACTGCCCCCTCATGTTACACAACTTTAAGATGGATGTATGTAAAAGTAACCAACAGGAAGGACTCTGCTTCCAGAATAGATTCAAATACTAAGTTCCAAGTGTCTTAAAGAAGCTCCCTATACCACAGGGTAGATATTTCCTTGTTGAGATGGCCTCAAACCACCAACTTAAAAATAGTCAGAGTCTCACCGTAGCTATGGTGAATGTGACTGATGAGAATATGCATTACCACCCTTGCTCAGGAGTATGTTACAGTCTTGTATGCCATTGTGGTGTGGGGGAGCATAAAGCTTTAAATGATCAGGACAGATGGTAAGTGAAAAAATATATAGAAACCATTTTTTTTTTTGACTGTCCAGCAAAGTTTTGATCCGACTAAGGTCTCTACCAGAAGACCATTAAAACCTCTGTGCAACTTTGAAACATGTTTGTTTGTTTTTCAGACCATTTTTAGAGGACATGGAACAAATTTAGCCACGTGGAATATTTTAGCGTCAGGGTGTTGTGTTGATAAGCTGTATTTTAGTTTTCAAGTAAACCTCAGTGGGCACCTTTCTAAGGCAACACGGTTTATTCATAGACATGAAAAATGGCAATTATGACAGGGGAGGTAGGAACTTAAACATCAGCCCCTGCTGTTGAAAACACTTAACACTTTGCCGATTTCCAGCGGTGTCTATATGAATTACACATCAAACAAATGTGTGCGTTTGCGTGTGTCTTTTCCGCATCTGCATCCTTTGAAGCTTTAACAGAGATGCTTGTGTGACCCAGTGATGGTGCCACTGGGTGGCAATGTGGCGGTCCCTCCCATACTCTTAAACCAGAGCAGGAAGAGCAGACCCCCTATTAGAGGGGCCAAATCAGAGGGAAATCCAAGGCAGGCCGGAAATAAGAGCTGTAAGAAGAGGAAAAGCACAAAGAAAACAGGGGTATTAAGGTTCAAAACTAAAACTATCACCACTGGGTTTGACATCCATTTCATTATAATTTATGATAACAGTCTTTCTTGTCAGACTAAATAAACTAAGCCAGACAGGTGTTGCTGTCAGTGAGCTTTACAGTTGGGGGGGGGGGGGGGGGGTGCGGGAGTGAGAGTGATTTTTCAGGGCTCTCAGAGAGCTCCTTGGACAATCTGAGTGAAGCAGGTCTCTGCGGCCGAGCGCTCTCTCTCCGCCTCTTTAATTACACAAACCGAGCCAGCTCTGCCCTTACCCACAATCTATGAAGGCATGAAATAAATACATGCTGTCCAACAATAAACAAGTGCCTTTTCAAATGACAGTACCTCCTCATGCACAACCAGACTGCAGTCTCTCCAAACTTTTACTTTTAACTGGATATAGAAGCGTGGAGGGACACGCTTCTATATCCAGGATAGTGCAGGGAACTGCAGCTATACAGAATGATCATATAGAGTTTCGCACCAAAAGCTATATTGGTTTTAAGCTTAAAGACAGAGTGCATATTATTTAGAGACAATCAGAGTCATTATTTTCTTCACCTGGAGACAATCCCATCCACAATGTGCTTCAGGTCCACGTCTTAAATTGATTCCAATAGTTTCTTTATCAAGGAAAATGTATGTCATGGATAGTAGATGTAAGTTTGAATAAATTACATAGTCTACCAGTTCCCGTGACATTAAACCTCTTTATAACCTCTTTATTGGAATAGTCCCAAATAAATGTCATAATTTGGCATGTCACACCTTCCCTTTCACCTCCATGTGCAGGAATAGTTCAGATCTTTGGAAGAGTGGTTCTGTAGAAATGTTATGAACAATTAATGTCTTACCTGCGGTAGAAAGGTCTTGAATGACCTGTTTGAAAAAAAAAAGTGTTCAATTGACATAACTGACAATAAACTGACAATATTAATCCTGCACTACAATAAACATTTTTATGTTTCTGAACACACCTGACCTGTTTTGCACCTTAATTGTTGGTATTTTAAAACCTCTCTGTTATCTTTTATATTTTCAGTTTTTTAATATCTTGTGATTCCTTGTGTATGATCCTTTGTGCTGAAACTCTGGCCCAAAAATTTCCTGAGGTAAAGTTCTATCTTATCTTATCTTATCTTATCGTATCGTATCTTATCTTATCCTGTCTTATCTTGCCTTAAGCTAGTTTGAATGGAGCCAAGACCACATGGATTTGTGCTGTCTAAAAGATATAACCTCAGCAACAACATACATTTAATACACAAAATGCATATAACTTACATTTCAAAGTTCAAGTTTCTTTATTGTCATTCACATCACATGTGGTACATGAGGTGGAACAAAATTGTATACTCAAGGTCCCAGTTACACCCAAAAATAGCAAAAATATAAACTATAAAAAAGAAACAGTACCCAAGGGTCTAAGATATACAATAATAGTGTACCAGTGATATAATATGGTGCATTAAACAGCAGCACGAACATGAGTCTGTTGTGAGCAGATGGGTATAAATATACCAGCTTATGGTTAAGAAATCAGCAGCATGGATAAATAATAATAATGTCATCACAATAAAGTGACAAATCACCAATTAAAGTGGCATCACATTGATTTTTCTGGTAAGGGATTTATGACAGCTTCAAGGTAGAAGCTGTTCCTCAGTCTAGTGTAGGTGTCTGCAACCTGCGGCTCTGGAGCCACATGCAGATCTTTGGTCCCTCTGTAGTGGCTCTTTCAAGCTTCGACCAAAACAAACACAAAATTGAATTTTATTGGTTGTTATACAAACAATAATAGTTTTAGCTGTTTTCCTGTCATTTATTTTGCAATACTCACTTTAACTTTTTGCTTTATTTCTATACTTAATTATTTTTTCCACAATTAAAAAAATTACATAGGTCTGCATAGTTCATAGTTGTTTTATTATTTAAAAACATATTTTCCCCCTCTTTACAATAATCTGTTCTTTTCATTTATCTTAAATTGTAAAAATGTCAATAAATATTAGAAATCATTAGATTTTTTAAGCTTTAAAATGTCACCCCTACTGGCCAAAAAAAGTCTTCTCCAACAAACTTAAAGTGGCCCATGGGCCACCAGTTGATAACTGCAGGTTGTTACAGCTCTGGACACATTGAATTTAGTGAATAAACACGTAAAAATGGCTCTTTTGATCGTAAAGGTTGCAGACCCCTGGTCTAGTGGTTCTGAACTTAATGCTCCACAACCTCCTTCCTGAGGGGAGCGGGGCAACAGGCATGCGTCCTGGGTGAGTGGGGTCCTTCATGATGCAGGTGGTTCTCTTCCTGCATCTGGAGGTGTAGATGTCTGTGATGGTGGGGAGACTGACTCCAACAGACTTCTGTGCAGCCTTCACCACTCTCTGCAGAACTTTTCTTTCAGAAGCTGTGCAGCCTCCATGCCACACGTTGATGATGGAGCACAGGATGCTCTCCACTGCACACCTGTAGAAGGAGGTGAGGACTGAGCTTCCCAGTCCGGCTCGCCTCAGCCGTCTGAGGAAGTAGTCATTGATGTGCTTTCTTTGCTTGTTGTATGCATTTTTTTAATCTGATGTATAATTAAAAATGTTGAGATGTTTGGAATTTTAAAGGGGACTCCAACATCTTTTTGTTGCTCATTTTAATAATTAAAAAATAATTTAAATAAAACAATAACAATAATAATCTGGATTTTATAAGATTGCCACCAGGAAAGAGTAAATGCTAAAGAACAGGGATATCACAGATTTTCTGTTAGTCACACAAGGTTTTAAATAGCCCATATCGTGTCCATTCACAAAATTTTAACTTCACTGTGGTTGTTTAAAAGATTTATTTTATTCACTTTATTCTAAGCATATTGTTTTAAGAGATTAATAGAAGCACCACATTAAGTTTCTCTATTTAAATTGCTCCACTTTAGACCTCCCATCCCTAAAGACCCTGTCTCATCTGTGCAGAAAAACAAATTAAATTAAATCATTGGCAACTGATCATTCTTGGCTTTAGATGTGTAGAAAACCACCTTGGATGTATAACATAAATGGTTTCAATGGGGATGCTCAGCAAAGAAAAGCCTGAAAAAATGTTGCATGAAACTCAAAAGGACAACACTTTGTGAAAAAGACTAAATCTCTATTATAGACTTTAGAAATACTTTGCAAGCCTTTGATGCATTGAAAATAACAAACCATTATATCGTGAGCACAATGGGGGTAACTGCTCATCTTCTGAAAACAAAACAATACAATGCCATATAAGCATTCACGTACACCCTGTTTGTTTATTTATTTGTACTTTAGAGTAAAATATTGGCAGCTGCAGTTTAATTTTACTGTAAATAAAGGGGTCAGTTTATAACAAATTGCTTTATTTGTCAACTATAAGTGACCAAATACTTTTTGTTTGTGATGAAATAAAATAAAAATAAACCTTTGTATTTGAAATTTGCATAAAGTGATTGATGATCAAACAATAGAACTACTATAAATCAAATTAGTCGTTTAGCAACAAACAGTGCATTCGTAAAACAAGTTAATTTTATTTCAAATATTGAAATTACATCAAAATGAATTTTTTTTTTTAATCACTTGTATTTGTTGCTGCCAGCATTTCGCTGCAAAAATGCCACAAATGAAATCAAGGTTAATACTGTTTTGTCAGAAATTAATAATTTGTAATATTTATCGGAAAAATAAACACATGCAATATAAATAAAACTAGCAATTGAAACAAAAAGTGTAAAATAATCTCTTCACTGAATTACTAAACTACAAAGTTATTGCTTTAATAGAGAAAGGGAAAATGATTTCGTCTTGCAGCGAAAAGAAGCGCCCTCTACTGGCCAGGAGAAGAAACTCATGCAGAGTCAGACCTGATTGTCTAAGGAAATAATCTTTGTTACCTTTTAGACTTATTGCTGAACACAAATCTGACTACAACTTTATGTATACCTTTTCAAGTAACAGGGTACTAAGGTCAAAAATCTGATGTGGAAACTAAACATAAAAAGTCAAAATGCTGCCCACAAGTCCTAATTATGCTTCAGTTTAACATTTAAAACTTTTTTTATTCTTTACAACACATGTAGTTGGAGTTAATTGATGCTGTGTCATTAATAGAATATCCACATTTCAGACTATTTGTGGAGGAAAAATCTGATTCATACCATTTTCACAAGCTGAGTCGAGCACATTTGAATGAGGAACTTGAACGTGTTACATATGTTGTAATAGGTCGTGCGCCCCTTTTGACGTTGCAGTCTCACACTTGCACAGAGTGCACATGCATCAGCTGGCAAGACCTCAGTTCCTCTATTTAAAATGTCATCTGTGGCATTTCAGGCTGCTCTTCCCACGCATTCTTAGGGCTGTTTCCATCTTCCTTTGGTCTGGGTGGTTGCATATTTCCTAATGCACACTTCATGTTGGCCACACAAGTGTCTCCTAGTAGTGATGAGAGAGTTACCATGCACCCCACCCCCCCAACCCCCACCCCACACACCAACATGGCCTGCTGTGATTTACTGTGTCAAGAATTTGAGCGTCAGAAGTTGCTTCCTCATGATTCAAATGAAAAATGGATAAGCAGCATGTTGTGAGTTAAATTCATGACATTTTGCTGCAAACCTATCAAGTGTTACTCTGCCACCTAGTGGAGAACTGGAGTTTGACACGTTTTTCATAAAATTATTGAAAAGAATTTCAAGAATCAACTTAGATATGTAGGTTTATTAAATATAAAACTCTTATTTGCAGTACAGTAATACAAATTTTAGAAAGATTTATTAACAAAATTACAGTTTGAATTAAAAATGGGTGTATAAATTAAAAAAGCATTCTACTAAATGAGATGGAAATGATGTTACTAGTTTAAAAGCCAAAAAAAAAAAAAAAAAAGCACAGTAAAAGACCAAAGTGACATATTTGTACAACAAAAATGAAAAAAAAATAATAAAAAAAAATAGTTTCATTTACCGAGTTATTAAAAAAAATAAAATAAACGGCATCAGTTGATACAGAAACTTGCCACGATGTCAACAGGAATAGACTTAAAGTTTGGTTTCTAATTATTTTGTCACAAGTTTGAGCCACAAAGCAAAAAGTAAAAAAAGCAGAAGTGCAGCATGTGACAGTATTTTCATCAAATGTCTCTTAATGTAAGCCGAAACCAGAAATTAGACACATACGTGTCCAGCGTTTCATCAAAATGTTAAAAAGCAGCAATAAAAAGTGTGATTTAGATAGCAAAGTCTATTATTTAAAAATAAAAACATGTATAAATAGCATAATAAATACTCTTACTACGCAGTGCATAGTTTACTTGTGATGTAGTGTGGACTTCATCTGTAGTTACTGTCTAATGGATGATGCAGACATAAGGCTTGGAATCCACTGCCTAGAGTTGTAAATCAGAAAAGAAAGCCTTCAATTTCCTTCAGCTCACTGAAATACTGTGATGGAGGCCTTAAGGTCAAAAACACTGCTTTTAAAATGAATCCATATTTAAACGTGTCTTTCTTTTAACAAACTTGCTACTTAGATATGTGCACATGAATGTTTGTCCCAGAGATGGTACATCTGTGTCTGACTTAAAAAAAAAGTGGTTTTAGGTTCTCAAAATAAAATTTACAAATACAACTATTTAAATATCTTTCATGTGAATTTGGTCCACGGTCAGTCTTGTGCCCAACTCTCTTCTAATTCACAGAGTAGGACGAACAAACCAACAGAATCATACTCATAATTCATGCAAACGTGATCACCTCCAAACTGCTATAAAGAGAATACTTTTGGACAAAAACCTACTGTAAATACTGAGCACTACAGCTTTTAGGTTAGTACTGTTTTGCATATACAGCAAATGTAAAACTTTAACAAATGTAAGACCAATTGGTAAATAATCGTGTAAAGATTTGTACCTGACCCATGTAGATAAGCACTTTCAATGATCGTAACTGTTCATCATTTAGCCGTTACCTTACAAAGGTTGCATGGATAAGTTTTAAGGCCCCAATTTAGGTCTGTATAGCTTAAAAGTTAATTTGCATAAGGGAAGTATTGAAATGCCAAGTAATACTACGCTTAGATCTTTGGTCTGGTGCTGGCAATGGCACAGGGACAAGTATTATCTGCTGACTGATGTGTGACAAGAGTAATAAAGAGATCACAAACTGCTAGTTATGCACCATTACTTAAAAAAATGGGGGGAAATGCTGCTTTTATAGTGACAAGTAGTTGACCCTGACACAAAAATATCCACTCTAAGGTTCTCTCATTTACCCACTGTACATCACAGATGACTTTCTACTCTCTCAATAGTAGGTCAGTTTCACTTCCACCTTACTTGCGTTGCCAGGAGATGTTGAGTTTAGTGTCCCTTAAAGGAGGAAAATGATACTATGTTCCATGAAGGCTGTGACGACAAAGACTTGTTGTCCCCTCTTTGTGCTTATTTGTATTTTTGAGCATCAATTACATCTTGGTTTACAATAACTTTCATGCTCTCAGTTCTTTGTCTCGTGACTATTCTTCACTCTGCTCCTGACTTAGTGAGGGATAGTTACTACAATAAATACAAACACTTCTCTAGCAAAACCAGCTGAGTCACTAAGCACAAACTCCATGGGCACATTTGGTGCATCTGCGTCTTTAAAAAAAAAAATAAATAAAAAGGCTAAACAAGTTCAGGGCTGCCACGGTTTCCTGTCCTTGCCTTTCTGATCAGGAATGTGTTTGTAGCGGCATTTGTCTCCAAAATGGCAGCCAGTGGTTCTCCAGAAGTAACACTCATCTCCGTTCACTGGGCCACGTCTCCGAGGACTGAACAGAGAAGAATATATAAAGAAAGAAAATATGCATGAATCGGCTACTGCTCAACTAGAACACAGAAACAGATTTGTTTATTTTTTTGGCATGTAGGTGCACTAAAAGTTTTCAAAGGCTTCTTACCCGGCAGCTGCCCCTGCCTGCTGTGTGACGGGGAGAAATGTTTTCAGTGGAATGGGAAGGAGCTTCTGAGGGCGACGGTCAGGATAGCGCACAACTAATCGTGTGTTCTCAATACAGTGATTCTGTAGAAGCACAAATGCATGTAAATATAATCATGTTATAAAAAGAACAAACAGCTGAGAGAAGGAGAAATGAGCACTTACATTTAGTTTGTCCATGGCATGGGCTGCCATGTTTGCATTCTTAAAGTTGACAAAGGCACAGAATCTCTCATGCAGAACACGGATGCTCTCTATCTCTCCATACCTACATTTCAAAGCAGGGCAAAGTCACGTCAGAGGCTACTTTGGTTAAATATTAAAAGTTCCAACTTTCTGTGTCTGAGTTCTGAGTTCTGAGTTTAAATAAACTGGTTTCAACTCATAACTGATGTTTTATTATTATTAATAATAATAATCTTTCTTTAGTTAGACAAATCCCATTGAGGTCACAGATCTCTTTTACAAGGAAGGCCTGGACCTGAAAGCAGCCTAACATAAGATAAGATGAGATAAAACTTTATTGATCCTGCAGGATATTGTTGAATATTTTTGGACTGTGGGAGAAAACCCACGCAAACACGAGGAGAACATGCAAACGCCACACAGAAAGAACCCAGGTCCAATCTGGGGGGTTGAACCCAGGACCTTCTTGCTGTGAGGCAACAGTGCTAACCACTGATCCATTATGCTGCCATGCCATGTTAGCATCAAGCATTCTAACAGACTGAGGTCATACGTTTTAAAAAGGTCCCACAAGTGTTTCTCTGTTATCTCAGTTGTTACGTTTCCCACCCAAAGAGACGGACAAGGGCTTCTGAAAAACAAAATAAGAAGAGATAATAAGACTGAGACCTGCATGATCAAAGTCCAACACATGATATAAAAAGAAGCAGCCTGTGATGCAAATCTATTTTTAAAAAGCCTCCTGACCCCTTGGTTTGATCAAAGAAACACACGCCACCTACCCTGGTTGCGCAGCCGATGGATCTTGGCCACTGGCTGCAAAAACAAAACGCACATCATCAGAAAAACAGAAGTGTAGCTGCAAGACATCACCAGATGGATTTTTCTACACGTCACTACAATTTCAATGTCACAAAGAAAACGACTGATGCTTTCAGAACATGTTTGCATGGAGTTTAACCTTTTGACGCGTCAGAACAAGATGCCAGAGCAGCCTGCACACTTGGAAATCGTTCCAGCAAGAGAACGCTTTGCATTTCTTCAAAACCAAACTCCTGAGGAAAGGAAAAATAAAAATATATATATATTTAAAAAACAAGTCAAAATGACTAGCTACATGACAAAATTGTGGTCTGGTTAATTCTAGCTAAAGCTTACCATAAGCTGAAGAACTTTGCAGTTGAAGAGGTCATTGGCAGCCTCCTCACAATCTTTGTCCAGTTTCAGCACGTGCTCCATCGCCTTTTCTGCTTCACTGTACCGCTGCAACGCATACACATGAACTATTAGCAACAGATTAATTAAAAGACACAGTTCAAAACGTTAAGCTGATTCTTTTTTAATTAGGATGGTCATAGTCTCTGCCCACCTTCAGGCCCATAAGAGCGCTGCCTTTGCGGAAGTGTCCTTTGGGCCATTCTGGAGCCAACTGAATCGAGTATTCAGCATCTGCCAGGGCTTTAGAGTACTGCTCCAAGCAGTAGTAGCAATAAGAACGATTTCCAAAAAACCTACAGGGTTGAGATTAAATAAAGAATACATACATAATTAAGTTCTAAGTGGATTACGGTTGGGCATCGAGTCTCGAGAATCGATTGGAACCGGGACTAACATTCCGATCAATACTTTCATTTTCGATACCTAGTCCACCGACCAGAAGAAGAAGCCGCTGAACACCAACGAAGAAAAATCTACAGGAAGTGTGTACGCAACCATGGACAGTGTGCAGCACCGGTGATCGAAAGTGTGGCTTAACTTTAATAAAAGAAATGACCAGTCGACTCAGTGCCACTTTCAATAAGATTATATAATGCAAAGGAGGGTGCACGACTAACATGATTAAACACTTCCGGGTTCATTGTGTAGCAGTAACACAGTGCCCGGTCTTTGATGCGCCGGCCTACCTCCGCTGCCTCCTCCTCCGGCTCCGACTCGCAGGCTATCAACCCATTGCAGTCAGATTCAGGTAAGTAAAACAATAAAATATGTCTTGTACCAACATTAAGGCAGCTAACTAGTTATACTCGACCTAAAGCGGTGGGTCAACTCAAATGCAAATACCATGCTAACGTTAGCTCATGTCTTTTTCCATAGACAAACGACAAGTTCATAAGTTTGATATTCGTACACTGGATGAAAATAGCCCTGTGAGAAATTCATAGTAAAGTTAATAAAAAGTAAAAACTTCATAGAATTAAAATTCAAAGAGAACTTCTAACCATTTCATCCAGAAAGAACTCTGGTTAGCTAGCTCATTTAAACCAAGGAAATGTCTTTGAACCCTGACTCTAAAAAGAACTGGAATTGAGAATCGATAGAAACCGGAATTGTTCAAATTCAAACAATGCCCAACCCTAAAGTGGATATAACATTGATAATAAACTAGTCTTGATCACAGAAGACGTACCTGTAATCATTTGGGTCACATTTTATGGCTTCTGTAAACAAAACGACTGCGTGTGCATACTGTCCTTCTTGCACTAACTTTATCCCTTTTTCTGCAAGACAAAGAATTGTACATGACTTTCTGTTAAGCTACTTACTGACAAGTGTGCTAAAAGAATGTAAAATTGACATCTTCTTTGAGCCTTTGTTACGTCTGAAAGGAAAATCAATTTAAAGGGTGGTTATGTAGCGTGGGCAGCACAGTAGCGCTGTTGTTAGCTGCTGCCTCTCAGCTATAAAGGCAGGAAGAAAGGAAGGCTACAAGGTTGCAAGGATGGATGGATGGATGGATGGATGGATGGATGGATGGATGGATGGTTATGCAGCAGAAATTATTCCTTACCTGTAAGTGACGTGCTTTTCTTGGTCATGGAGTCAGTACCATTGGTCTGTTAATTAAAAAACTATTTTATCATTTTATGCATACTGCAATGCAAGCATGTGGTAGTATTTAAATCTTTCCTAGTTCCACACGAGTCTTTAGATCTGCCAGTTAAATATACTGTTGCTACAAAACAACGGTGCATTTTACTGGTCTTCCACCTTTACCATTCACTTACCTCTCTCCTGGCTTCGTTCTCCTTGTTTTCTTTAGATTTTCGACTTGATCCTTTGGGTTTGATATGGCTGGCAGCATTAGCAAAAAAGGCACTACTCACATCCCACTCAGGCTCCTGAGGACCACATAAAAAGCCAAACACTTGTCAGATCATTTGTCATTCAGGCTTTAATAGAGAAAAATACCACACAAGCTCATTTAGGATCTAAGAAGAGTAACAGGGGATGTATCAAACACCAACACAGCTTCAGTACCTCTTCTGTGGATCTGGTCTTTATCTTCTGATGTCCTTTGATGTCTACAGGAGCCATGACTGGTATGGAAACGTATTTGTGTGAAGCTGCTGATTTTGCATCAATCATTTTCTCCTGTTTTTGTGCTCTTTGTTTCTCCTCTTCAGCGACGACGTCTGCTTCTGACTCGCTCTCGTCCAGTTCAGACTCTACACCACCATCTTCCTCTTCATCATCCTATGGCATCATAAATATTTAACTCCTCACAGTAAAGAAAGAGAGTATCTTCATCGTGTTTCTGTAGATGCTAAAGTTGATTAACTGTCACGGCTGTCTTGAATGAGGCTCACTCCAACAGTTAAGTCAATGAATGCTTTCCAAGAGTTTAATTAAAATATATCCACCGATTCTTGAGATATTTTTTCTGACAGAAAGAAACGGTTGACGCCACAGACAAATACATTAATCGCCTCTCATCTTGAGGTGACAACGACAATATTACCTGTTCAACACTGTCATTCTGCTTAGTTTGTTCTTGCTTCTTACGATTTCGACGGCGCTGAAACAGATGTAGATTGTTACCCAGCACATCCAGCAAAAGAGTGAAAAATGAACTCCATATGTCTGGGGTGGATCTGAATGCTCACCTTCCTCTTGGCTTTCCGTCGCTCCGCTTTCAGTCGGGCTTTTTCTTCCTCACTCAGATCCTCTTCGCCATTTATTGCATCCTAAGCAAACACACAACCAAATCAAAGTTCAATAGTGCGTCACTAAAAACACTGATGTGCTGTCCCACTTATGTCCTGTCAGGATGACACCATTTATTTACCTGTGACAAAGTGCCATCGTGACTTGGGTCAGAGATTGCCGCCCCACAGTTCATCTGTTCCTCCTGCTGCTGGACAGCAGAACCTTTCAGGAAATTAAACAGGCCCACAATTGTTTAAAATGTTTAGAGGTTAAAGAAAGAGGACATTAGACATGAATTAAAAACACTTGTTCTGCATCTACTCTGCAACACTTCCCACACTCTTGCAATATTCTAAACAATGTTTCTGAACTCTAAACGCTCTAAAAAAGCACAGAATGTCATAATTTCAGCTCTCTGCCACTGCTGCTCTCAGCCACCTGCAAGCGCTCTTGGCCACGCCCACTTCTCTGCTTTGCACAGAGATCAGCTGATCAGCTGCAGCAGAAAGTCTATCCTGCAGTATGGGCTGAACAGAGGTGCAGGAGGTCCTAAATAATTTTAAATAATTTATTTTAAATAAAAATCCCATGCCGATCGTGAGGCTCGTCCATCAATCAGCCAGTTGTGTGTCATGTCTAATTTTATTTTGAAAAACCGTAATAGAGCGAGTCTGCGATAAATGAACTGCAAAACAGCGAGGGACTACTGTATTACAGAATTGAGCTTTTAATCATTCAAATATTCAGATATGAACAGAAAGTACTGCTTATAATCTAAATCTTTTTTTTTTATTACTGTGTTGTTTCAATGACAAGGGAACGTGTTTCTGATTACTTTGTTCCTCCTTCATAATCAGGGCAAGCCATTATTGCTACTAATAGAGAAAAAAAAATGTAAAACATGGGCAGAAACAAGAAAAGTTCTGTTTTGCTATACTGCAAGAGAGAGAATGCAAGATGAAGACTGCTCAGTGACAAATTCAGGTCTTTTCATTGTGAAATGTTTACCCGTAAAGTGCAACACACAGCTGCTTGGAGCTCTGCTTCTTCTCAGAAACTTGGCTAAGCAGGACAGAAAACAGCCACTGCTTTTGAACATCCTGGCATATGCAAGCTCGAGTTGTTAGGACATAAATCAGGCCTTATCAAAACACTGCACTTAATTTGCGGAAGAATCAGAGGCAAAAAAGAAACGAAAAATGCAGAAGGCATAAGATGTTCAAAATTGTTCAGCAAAGATTTACAAGAAGCGATTTCCATACTTGTTTTGCGACTCATGTTGTGGCACGCAGAGAAGTGACAGAGCAGCTTGTCATTTAAATTCATTCATAAATACATCATAAAATTTCTTCTGAGAAAAAGAAAGCAACAAGCAGCCTGTGGGCTTCCTCGTTCTTTTATGTGCACTCACTTGGGCGCACGGGCTTTCATCACCATTTCAAAGAGTGCAAGAAATCACTCCTGAAGTCTGCTGACCAAACTGTATTCAGTGCATATGAAATCAAAATGCATCTCAAACTTACATTTATCAAAGAAACTAATTATTAGCTTTGCTTTGGAAACGACAAATGTCACTAAACCAGATCTTTAGATAATGTCCTCTAAACACCACAATGATGCTTTTGTCCAACAATCCAAGATTGGTGGACAAAAGCAACTACAGTCTGTGGTTTATTTTATTTTTTCTGTTTGAGGAAACTACCCACATTAGTCAGTGGCTGAAAAGTGAGCAGCCACCACAGGAATGCAAAAATAACTAGAAGTTCCCCCACCCCCACAAAAAAAAAAAAAAGAAGTGTGCATTGAAATGTAAAGTAATGTAAAGTGTTGTGTTGTCATCATTGTATGTTCCCAACAATGGTAACATTGGTTCTCTGCATTGAACCCATCATATTTGGGATACATCCAGGTGCAGCAGTGTATGCTGCTACTCATGAGTATGCCTTGGCAGAAGTATTCAAACAGATGAAATTTAAGACTAAAAGCATTTGAAACCAATATGCCTCCACACAAAAGTTGCACAAGAAACAGGAGTCGTATCATCTGATAGTCATAAACAATTGAAAATTTAAATGGCAGCAATCCACCTTATTCCTGGGGACTCTACTGTATACATGATTATGGGTACAACTTCCTGTCAGACACCGGAAGTGGCAGTAAGCATTGGTTAACTAGAGACCGCGGTTTATTTGAAAGAAATTGGCGTTCAGTTTAGCAGCTAAAACACTGTTTTTGTTTTGTTCACATTTATTTAAACTGTAAAGTTAACAAAAATAGCCTTGCGGAGTTCGGGTACCTGTTGTGTTGTTTGTGACTGCGTGAACAACCACACCAAACAAAATCAGTGGCTACAACAACAGTCCAATATTTTTCAGTCAGGTCATCTGGACGGTTTCTTTTTGTGTGCTGAAACGTTTCGCCTTCGATCCGGAAGGTTTCATGTGTTGTTGTGCGTTTCCTTGACTGACGAAGCCTTCTGGATCGAAGGCGAAACGTTTCAGCACAAAAAAAGAAACAGTCCAGATGACCTGACTGAAACATGTTGGATTTTATACCTGGATTACTGAGCATGGACTTTGTTGTCTACAACAACAGTGTTTTGCACTTGGACCCAAAAAAGTGTTCCTGTGATAAGCTAATGCATCTCAGACTTTTTCAGGTTGTTCATCACTTCACCGTCGGAAGAAACAATGTCGTAGAAGTAGCTAAATATGCTAGTCTAAGTAATCTGCGGCTACTTCTTCATGCCGTCCTCCCATCCCTCATCCGCAGTAGGCAGCGGTTTAATGATATTGTCCTATGTGAGCTCTGATAAAAATCTTAATAAAAAAATAACTTTCTGCTGGATCCTCTGTGGATGTATGGGGGACTATGAAGAAGCCTGAACTGTTTGATGATAGCTGTACACCATGGAGTAGCAGCATTGTTGAGCTTCAGCAGTCCAATGGTGGAGTACTTTAACATGGTGCCAGTGGCTTGTTGTGAGTTACCCAGATTTAAGGACATAAGGACATTATTACATGCAGTGTTCCGTCAGTGAGGACTGAACTTGGCAAAAGGGCCTTCTCCTACTCCGCTCCTGTTTCTTGGAATTTCTTGCAAAAAGATCTGAAGCTCTCGACCTTGACCTCTCTAAGTGTCTTTAAGAATCTGTTGGACACCTGGCAGGGACCAATGCTGACATGTTCCTGTTTTTAGTTTTCTACATTTGTCTTGGAATCTAGCTGTTTTTTGTTTTGTTACCTTTTCCTTTTAGCCATCCTATTTGTTAAAAAAAAACAACAACAAAAAAACTGTAGTATGCTTTTTTATAACTGTTTATTGTTGTATTGTTGTTGCTGTTGTCCATTGTTGTCATCTTTCTTTGTTGAAATCAGGTCTCTCTTGTAAATGAGTCCTCGAGGCTCAATGGGATTTACCTGTATAAATAAAGGTTGATTGATTTTATGATTGTCTATTGTTGTCTTTGTTGTCCACTGTTGTCACTCTGTTAAAATCAGGTCTCTTGTAAATGAGCCCCCGAGGCTCAATGGGCTTAACCTGTATAAATAAAAGTTGAATGAAAAGGTAAAAACCACAGGAAAGTTTTTTAAAGTTGCTTGGTGCCATCAAATGTCACCCTTGCCACCAGGTATAAGAAGACAGATAAACCCCACAATATTAGAATCCATAAATTAGCTAAATTAACAGATTACACAGAGAGAGAGAGAGATTGTAGAGGCAGCTAACATGCACCAACGTCCAACTCTTGTCAATTGGTCCAAACTAGTTTTGTTGCAAAAATCAACAGAAGAAAAAAATTAATAAGGAGAATCGCAGGGCAGCATGGTGGCTCAGTTGGTAGAGCTGTTGCCTCTCAGCGAGAGGGTCACCGGTTCAAATCCCGGCTCGGGACCTTTCTGGAGTCTGCATGTTCTCTCCATGCATGTGTGGGTTTTCTCCAGGTATTACGGTTTCCTCCCACAGACTAAAAACATGTATGTAGACTGACTGGTAACTCTAAATTGCCCCTAGGGGTGAGTGAGCGTGTGAATGGTTGTCTTCTTTTTTGTCTCTATGTGGCCCTGTGATGGACTTGCAACCTGTCCAGGGTGTACCTCACATCTCTCACAGTGATAGCTGAACATGGGCACCAGTGACCCACGTGACCAGAAAAGAAGTGGGTAAAATATAGTATGCAGTTTATACGGGCCGAAACGGTGTAGGGGCAAGGCAGCCGACTCAGGACCCGAAGGTCCTGGGTTCGATCCCCGGTCATTGCACGTCTCCTGATGTCTCTGAGCAGGACACCTAATCCCGAATTGCTCCCCAGGTGCCTACATAGCTGCCCACTGCTCCACCTGGGTGTATCCCAGGTGTGATGGGTTAAATGCAGAGAGCCATTTTCGTCTTTGTACGGGAACATACAATGATGACAACACACAGCACTTTATTATTATTATTATTTCAATGTACACTAATAATGCATCATGGTGAACTGTGGTGGATTAGACAGGAATTAAGCTACTGTGATCCTGGTTCTTTTATTGCTTTTTCAATAACTAGTTAGAAATCAAACGCATCATTAAATTCAAACGATCTAACCCATGTTTTATGTGGCTTTATAGAGTCGCCTGCAAACTATGTTGATGTCATGAAGATGATTTGCATTTGTTTTTATGGCTGAACGGCAGAATTTACCGTTTATGGATTGAGTGTTTAGGAAGTTGACATGATGGTAAAAATTAGAGCCAAGACAGCTTCTCATGATCACAAGCAGAAGGGGACATGGCTAATGTGATGTTTGTTGGGAGTTGGCCTGATTAGAGATGTATGAAAATGTGACAATAAGAGACTCAAATTATCTGTTTCTATGTGGGTAAGTTGAAAGAGGGGTTTCAGGATGATCTGCTGTTTTTAATAGAAAGTTAGCTTTAACTGTATAAAATGTGCTGCATCATAAAAAATTTAAAAAAAAAACACGATTGGTGGGGGTGAGGGGAATAAAGTTTGGTATGAGGAGGCATTTAAAGGCACACACCCTGATGCCCATATACAAACACGACCTGTCGAGGTTTATGGTTAAACTTTAAAATATGCACTTCTCCCAGTTTGTACGTACTTTTCGAATTGGTGGGCTTTTTCTACTTGCTTCACGAATTTAAATTCATTCATCAAGTGGTCTTAAAGGTGAAATTAGAGCGTTTTCTGACACTGCCTGCGCAAACTTTGAAGGGAGAAAACAAAAGGGTGGAACTAGCAAGAAAGCAACTTTCATTGTTTCACCACGAACTCAATTAAACCCTCTCGATAAAAACGACAGGGGAGTACAGCCACAAATACGTCCGTAGGATAAACAAATTAAAAAAAAAAAAAAAATCACGAAAGCCACGTCTTAAATTTCCACTCAGACGGGTTTTTATCACTTGCGGAATCAAACTTGCCGTTTGTTCGGAAAGTTTTGAAAGAGAGGGACATTTTCCTTACCGCTTCCGAGTCCCAACAACCTGCATATATCTCTGGTGAGTTTCATGAGGCCGACCATCCAGCATTATCGACCCAAATATATTCCCAAAAATATGTGTTTGATGGATGTTTGAAGTGAGGGCGAAGCCAGGGTTTGAAACGTTGGGGAAAAAAAATCGCTATCTGCGGGAATCTTCGGTGGTTTGATCCACTTCCTGAGCGACGGTGGCCGACGCAGTTTCCGCCCTGAGTTGTGTCTTAAAGGCGCAGGACGCAATTATCTGCTGGTTATCAGGGGATCAATTCAAGATTTCAAACCTTTTCCTCGCAGAGATTACTACAGAGATTTATAAAGGAAGCAAGATATGAGTTATCTTATAACTTTCATTTGATGGTCATTATTTAAGGCAATGGTTTGCAACCCTGGTCCTCGAGGGCCACTATCCTGCCTATATTAACACAACTGATTAGATTCTTCAAGTATCTTTACCTGCTTCTTCATTTCTGGGTCGGTGGGGTGTTGAGCCCCCTCCTGTTTACTCTGCTCACGTATGATTGTGCAGCTACCCATCCAGGCTGTCACATTGTAAAGTTTGCAGATGATACAGTGGTGGTGGGATGCATCACAAACAATGATGAGTCCAGCTACAGGCAAGAGGTGGAACACCTGGAGAGCTGGTGCAAAGAGAATAACCTTCACATCAATGTGAAGAAGACAAAAGAGATGATTGTGGACTTCAGAAGGAACAAAAACATCTACACCCCCCCTGAACATAAGAGGATCTGTGGTGGAAGTGGTCTCCAGCTACAAGTACTTGGGTGTACACATGAATGACAACCTCAGCTGGAGCAACAACACCACCAGCCTGATCAAGAAAGCTCATCAGAGACTCTACTTCCTCAGACGGCTGAGGCGAGCTGGTCTGGGAAGCTCAGTCCTCACCTCCTTCTACAGGTGTGCAGTGGAGAGCATCCTGTGCTCCAGCATCAACGTGTGGCATGGAGGCTGCACAGCTGCAGAAAGAAAAGCTCTGCAGAGAGTGGTGAAGGCTGCACAGAAGTCTGCCGGAGTCAGCCTCCCCATCACAGACATCTACACCTCCAGATGCAGGAAGAGGGCCACCTGCATCATGAAGGACCACACTCACCCAGCACACACACTTTTTGCCCCACTCCCCTCAGGAAGGAGGTTGAGGAGCATTAAGTGTAGAACCACTAGACTGAGGAACAGCTTCTACCCTGAGGCTGTTAGACTCATGAATCTCTAACCAGAATAATCACTGTGAAAAACCACATCATGTTGCTGCTGATCTGTTTCAATGTTGATGTGTTCATGCGTGCACATCCGCTCACACAGACTCATGTTCATGTTTGTGCTGATGTTCAATATTTTATGTTATGAGTGCTTAGTGTATATTTAGTTGATGTTTTTCTTAGTTCATATCTTAGATGTTATTACTGTTTTTCTTATACATTTTATTGTTGGATGTAACTGGGACCCTGTGTACATAATTTCGCTCCACCACATGTACCACATGAGGTGCGAATGACAATAAAGAATCTCTGACTCTCTGACTCACTTTGACCATGTCCTGAAAGAGGCAGTGTCCTGGACAGATTGCAAGTTCAACTCAGGCCCAAGACAAACAACCACACAATATCACTCAAACATACACTTTAGAGTTATCATTTATGGACAATGGACTACCTAGAGAAAACACACACATGCATGGAGAAAACATGTAAACTCTACCCAGAAAGGCCCCCGGCCAGGATTTGATTCAAAACCGTTCTTGTTTCTGTAGAAAATGAAGTAATTCAACATTTGAATCAGGTGTGTTGGAGCACGGAAACATCTCAAACTTGCACAGATGTACAAGGATACAATGATTTTTTTAAATTCTCATTCACATCACATGTGGTACATGAGGTGGAACGAAACTATGTACGCAGGGTCCCAGTTACATCCAACAAAAATACAAATTGTAAAGAAAAACACTAGTAAGATTTGAGTTATGAACTAATATACTACATTCACTAAACTAAGAATACACTAAGCACTAATGGTACAAAAACAATGCGCCAAAACAACAGCAGCACGAACATGAGTCTGTATGAGCAGATGAGAATTAATGAACACAGCAACATGAAGTAATCAGCAGCATGAGATCAGCATCATGGATAGACAGCAGCACATAACAACCAAGTGGCATTACAGCAATTTTCTTTCACAGTAATTTTCACAGTGATTTTTCCTGGTTAGAGATGCATGAGTCTAACAGCCACATGGTAGAAGCTGTTCCTCAGCCTGGTGGTTCTGCACTTAATGCTCCTTAGCCTTTTGCCTGAGGGGAGTGGGGCAAAAAATGTGTGTGCTGGGTGAGTGGGGTCCTTCATGATGCAGGTGGCCCTTTTTCTGCAACTGGAGGTGTAGATGTCTGTGATGATGAGGAGACTGACTCCAACAGATTTCTGTGCAGCCTTCACCACTCTCTGCAAAGCTTTTCTTTCTGCAGCTGTGCAGCCTCCATGCCACACGTTGATGCTGGAGCACAGGATGCTCTCCACTGCACACCTGTAGAAGGAGGTGAGGACTGAGCTTCCCAGACCAGTAGGTAAGATAAAGTATAAACGCATCATGGTTTCTGATAAAGAGTTCTGCACTCCGTTTCTTTTTTATTTTTCAATGCTGTTCAAATTACATAAAATGTAGGCAGAATTTTGAATCCATCACCTTTTCGGTGAATAGGGACAAAGGTTCTAATATTTGCTTTGAGAATCATCTAATATATTGTAATTCATTTTCCCAGTGAATGACAATTAACATTTCAAGCCAGAATACAACAAAACGTACTCCAGTTATAACACCAGACTTCTTTAGCTAGAATGCAGAACTCAACCTGTTGCAGTCTTTGAACACAAACGTCTTTAGGGTGGCTGGGGTCACTGGTGCCCATGTCCAGAAATCACTGTGCAAAAGCCCAGTAATATCAGGTCTCTCTTGTAAATGAGTCCAAGAGGCTCAATGTGATTAACTTGTATAAATAAAGGTTGAATGAATAAACTGAATTAAATTGTACACACTAAAATGTTTTTTAAATAATTTGTATCAAACTGCAGACAGGCAAGAATATATATTTTCCAGACAATTGTGTCTTTCTTCTTGCAAACAGTTAAAAGTTTTTCTGATTGTTTATTTGTAAACTATGAATATAAGTGAAGACTTGACATTGATAAAAATAAAAAAGTAGAATATTTCACATCTTACTCGGCCACTCGGGAGGGTAACAGTGATGGTAAATTTCCTCAGTATTTGCATGTGGCATATTGGAGTAAACTTCACATTAAACCACTTAATAAAAAAATGAAATCTGAATTTACAGAAAAGGATTAGAGTGCAAAAAAAAAAAAAACTTTTTTCCCCTTAATTCTGACATTTTTGCACAATTCCAAAATTAAAATCAGAATTCTGAGAAAAAAAAATGTCTGAATTCAGAGGGGAAATCTACACAGTGGCCCTAATCAAAAATTAATTGTGAAAATTGCTTAAAATTAATTTCCAAATTGTGTAGATTATTTATAGATGTTTGTCTGTTTTGATTATCTGTGTTGGTTGTTCATAAATATTTTGTTTTGATTTCATGGAATTTGTAGTTTTCAATGAGTTTTTTTTATTTTGTACCTCACGGGATGCCATAGACATTAAGGGCCAGCCTTATAAAAGTTGGCAGCAATCAATGTAGTAATAAATGGATAAAAAAACAAGTGTCAGCAGGACTCAATGTTTGACGTGTAAAAGGAAACAAAGACAAATCTATGCTTTGCATTCCACCGGTGAAAGCAGTGAGATACGTTTTGTTTGTTTATTTGTATTATGAGCCCATGTTTTTGTATCTAAATGTTTGAAATATTTTAGTTTTCAGTGATCTGGACTGAAGAGAAAATTAAAAAAGAACCTGAAAATCACCTGTCGAGGCTGCGCTGAATGTTCAAGACCTGGGAGGCTGCTACAATTGGATATACCATTGTTTAAAAATAAAACTAAAAAAACTGCTCCCTCACATCTGACTGCCATCTAAATATAATAATTTTATATGTTCTCATTTGTCCTTTATTTTTCTTCCTTTTTGGGTCACCATATCCAGCAGTCACTGTGCAAAAGGTGGGGGACACCCTGGACAGGTCTCCAATCCATCACAGGGACACAAGGAGACAAACGAGACAAACGACCATTCACTCTCTCACTCACACCTAGGGACAATTTAGAGTTACCAATCAGCCTAACATGCATGTTTTTGGTCTGTGGAAGGAAACTGGAGTACCCGAGGAAAACCCACGCATGCACGTAGAGAACATGCAATCTGCACCCAGACAGGCCCCCCCAGCTGGGATTCGATCCAGCAACCTTCTTGCTCAGAGGTGCCCGTTCTACCAACTGCATCACCTGTTCTCATCTATTAAACAAATTATTTTCATGAACAAATACCATGTAGTCCAATCCAACTTTAATTGTACAGCACTTTAAACAGCGATTGAGAATCAAAGTGTTGTACACAGCAGACATAATTAAAACCAATGAATAAAAACATGAAAACAATAAAATTCTATAAAAAAAAAAGATTAAATTTGGTTAAAAGATAAGATCAGGGAAAATTGCAGCATATAAGATCAAATCTTAAAGAGTGCTGAACACCAAAGATTTCAAAACAGACAGTGAAGAGGCACATCTAACGTAAAGACAAAGCTCATTCCACATTTTAGGAGCCGCTACGGTAAAAGCACCGTCCCCGTGAGTTTTCTCTTTGGTTTGGGGATCCTCAAGATCATCTGGTCAGCTGATCTAAGAGAGCAAGTGGGAGTGTAAGGGTGTAGCAGCTCGAAAATATAGGGTGGAGCAGGCTTATTCAAGGATTTAAAAGTGACTAAAATAATTTTAAAACCGATCCTAAAATGTACGAGCAGAAAATGTTGTGAAGATAAAACAGAGGAAAGCTGCTTGTGTTGATGTGTGCCAGTAAAAGTCTCATAGCAGCATTTTGTACACAACTACTGTAATTATTGTGTTTTTGTCCTTATTGTTAATTTAACTTTGATTTAGAGACGTTTAGTATTTGTGTAGAAAAGCTTTGTTACTTTACCTTATATTTAAAGGGGGGACATAGAGTTTGAAAGGGCATTGTAGATGTGTGCAGTTAGTTTTAAGTGGAGAAAATATCGTACTTGCCGCGATACACGTCACACCACCTTATAAGTCACATCAGTCCAAATATGTCTATGTCTATTATGTGGAAAAAATCATAAATATGTCTCTTTGCCGTATAAGTCGCATCTATTATGCGTCACCGCTGACACATTGCGTTAGTTATGCGTCTCCGCTGACCACCCGGAAACGATAGCCGGTGTTGTGCCAAAAATCAATTGGCTGCCAAATGGCGGCTGCGGGAGCGTGCACGGGAGGACTTTAACAAGAATTTAACAAGATTAACACTTAAAAACAATTATTTGTTTGCTCAAAATTATAGCAAAGGTGTGTCTCAGTTGAACTTTTCCTTAATAAATGCACTTTGACTGTCAAATCAGCTGCATTTCAAAAATCAATTCACGGAAGCGGACAGAGAGAGGACTTGCTGTGCATTTCCTCGAAATTTAACAAGATTAACACCTAACAACAATTATTTGTTTGCTCGACATTATAGTAAAGCTGTCTCAGTTGAGCTTTTCCTTAATAAATGCACTTTAATGGTCAAATCAGCTGCATTTTGCCGCGCTGCCCAGGCGAAATGCAGCTGATTTTATGTTTGCTGCAGGAGTTCTGGAGTGAGACGAAGGTGGCTCTGTATGGCAAGCCAAGTGTCTCATTAATAGCCACTTTTACCCATTAATGAGACACTTACCACACTTGCCACAGTCAGGTCGAAGGCCCTCTAGCGGTTGAAAATGGTAGTGTTCAATATTTTCCATGTCAGAATGAATGAAATTGTCAGATCTCAGCCAAAAATTGGGTTATAAATATGGGAGAAAAACATACATAAGTCGCTTCACCGTATAAGACACAAGGCATGCAAATTTATGCAAAAAGGTGCGACTTATACGGTGAAAAGTATGGTAGTCAAAATCAGCAAACAAGGTTTCTTCCAGAAATGCCAACGAGATCTTGAATTGAAAATTTTGGAAAGCGTCATTAAATTCATAACAATGTTTTAGTTTATTTCATAAAGTGCCAGTTGCCTCTAAGTATCTTTACCCATAACATCACTGCTGTGTTTTCTGCTGGCTCGGTTAGATGACTTCATCTCCACTCATGGACATTTTGCACCATTAATTTATGAAGACTGACACAGATATGCTGCAAAAGACTGATATAAAAACAACTAACGAGAGAGATAGCTGAAGTGAATGTTTAAATTGGGGCGGCTGTGGCCGAGTGGTTAGAGCAGTCGTCCTCCAATGCGAGAGTTGGGGGTTCAAATCCACCAGCAGTCACATGTCGAAGTGTCCCTGGGCAAGACACTGAACCCCTCATAGCCTCTGATGTGTGTCCCATCAGTGTATGAATGTGATCTAAAAGCAGTGATTAGTCTCTTTAGAACGATTTGTTCAATTAGCTTTGTAGAGATCTAGTAGAGTGCTGTATGAATGGGTAAATGAGGACACAGATTGTAGTGTAAAGTGCTTTGAGTATCTTGAAATACGATAGAAAGGCGCTATATAAGTATAGTCCATTTACCATTTAAATTTACAATATGACACATTTCTCAGTGATTTTTTAGGTCAGACATGGCCGTAAGTGCTGCGTTCCAGCCAGGAGATCCCATCACGCCACCACCTATGGCCAAACACATGAAAGTTTACACAGGCTCTGTAATCTATTAAACAATCTGAGTAAAGATGTATCTCAAAAGCTCCAAGATAAATAACTGAGCTCTCTATACTAACTATCACAACATGAAACAATTAATGTATTAAACTGTACATGAGAAACTGCAACATTTGCGTTTCTAGCTGAACTTTAAGCACAAACCTGGATGACAGCCGCTGCCACACAGATACAGCCCTTTAATTGGTGAACGGTAGTCTGAGAGAGAGGGCAAAGGTCGCGCAAGGTAAAGCTGATCCAGTGACATTGATCCATGGAAAATGTTCTGTGAAAACAAGGTGAAAATGTTTATTTTGTTAAGACTCCATTTATAATTCCTATATTAAGACATAAAAACCACACATGTATAGTAGAGTCCAGTTATGTATTATAGAGCCAATGTGAACTTTGAATCTGATGTTTGAGTTAAAGTGTATGTAACCATTAACCTCTTATACAACAGGTCCATCCTAAAGCTGACACTGAATAACTCAACGCTGCAAATGACTCCCTCCTGCACTGAGGAGCTGACCGTGTCAAACGAATAAGCTGCGTGCCAACATTCAAAATGTTTCTCAGCCCAGTGTGTACAGTTCGTACCCCTCCAGTGAGTCCAAAGATCCTCTCCAGGTCTGGGGGTGTCAGGACATCTCTGCCCACCACAGACTTTTTAAACCCAGGGACGTACTGTTCCACCCAGTCAAACACTACGAAGAAACACACGTTTTTTTTTTTTGGTTTTTTTTATTAAACAGGTTCAATTTGCTATGCAGTCTTTTTGCAATATGATCATTTGTGTTTCTCACCAGTGTCTGCAAAGGCCTCTCGGTCCTGCTCGGTCCATTCCCTGCCTTCTATGTGGTAGGGGGTGAACTGGGTGAACAGCGATACGACGTGGCAACCAGGCGGGGCTAAAGTGGGGTCCAACACAGAGGGGATGGTCATCTCCAGCATAGGTCTACATGAGAAGACAATACAATGGAGATTTAAGGGTTGGTGACTTGCTAGAGATCATTGACATAAAACACCAGCCATGTTGTAATTTTGGAACCAGAAAATGCACAGTGGGGATATAGGATTTGAAGGGTCACCTACTCCTCTGAGGTGTGATTTATTTTTTGTACCAATGGAAATATGTTGCGAGTTTATATGAAGGGGGCAGGACTTAACACCTGTAATGGAACCAGCCAATGGGGACTCTGTTTCTCTTCCAGATTCATCTCCTGAATCTTGTAATGGGTCCAGTATTTTTAAAATACACTGCCTGGCCAAAAAAAAAAAAAAAGTCGCCACCTGGATTTAACTAAGCAAATAGGTATGAGCCTCCTATTGGATAATTACTGCATGGGTGATATCTTTCAGCTGGCAACAAGTTATTTAACCTCAACTAGTGCAATAAGTTGCTTCTCATTTCTCAAACAACCATGTTGAAAGACACATTGCGTGGTCGTGGAAAAGATGTCAGTCTGTTTGAGAAGGGTCAAATCAATGGCATCAAGCAGAGAAAACATCTAAGGAGATTGCAGAAACAAATAAAATTGGGTTAAGAACTATCCAGCAGATTATTAAAAACTGGAAAGATAGTGGGTCTTCAAGGTAGAAATGTGGCCGGAAAAAAAATCCTGAATGATCATGATCGGTGATCACTTAAACATTTTGTGGAATCAAATCAAAGAATAACAACAGGAGCACTCAGGGCTGTGTTTAATAGTGAAAGTAAGAGCATTTCCACACGCACAGCGTGAAGGGAACTCAAGGGCCTAAACAGTTGTGTATCCTTAAGAAAACCACTAACCAGTGAGGCTAATCTGGAAAAAAAGGCTTCAATTTGCTAGGGAGCATAAAGATTGGACTCCGGAGCAATGGAAGAAGGTCATGTGGTCTCACGAGTCCAGATCTACCCTGTTCCAGAGTGATGGGTGCATCATGGTAAGAAGAGAAGCAGGTGAAGTGATGCACCCATCACGCCTAGTGCCTGGTCATGAATGCAAAATCTTGGTGAAAAATTAATGCAACACTGGATGGAAATAGATCTTGTGACATTGCAGAAGCTTATTGAAACAATGTCACAGTGAATACATGCTGTAATCAAAGCTAAAGGTGGTCCAACAAAATATTAGTATGTGACCTTTTTTTGGTGGCGACTTTTTTTTTTTTGACCAGGCAGTGTACATTGACGTTTAAATCTAAGTCCAGAAAACAAAGTAAAAAACACAGCAATCCTGTATTATATTAAAATTGTTTGCTGATTTTTCTCACTATTTCTGGATAAGAGCCCTTTAATAGTGTGCAAGAAAATAATAATGATTTTTGAAAAAGATGTCTTTACTCTCAAGGCCACTTTAAGATGAACAAAGATATGAAAAATAAATCATGGAGCATCCAAATCAGCTAAATAAATTAAAATATATTTATTATCCGGCACCTAATTTCATCATCTTAAACCATGTTCAATTAAGAACGCATTTAAATACTTTAAACTTCAAACCTGACTTGTGAAAGTAAATATTTTGTTCCAGCTTTATCTCTTCAATAATAAATCAGCTTAGAACTTGAATTATTTAGTGTATGAATGTAACTCTGGCATTTAATTCAATTCAATTCAGTTTAGTTATAAAGCGCCAAGTGACAACAGAAGTCATCTCAGGGCACTGAACAGAAACATTCATATTTTAAAATAATAATTTAACACTATTTATCTGAGGAGCAGACTGCTTTGAGTTTAACTCCATCACAGAACTCTCATCTTGAGCAAGCTTGAAGGCGACAGTGGAAAGGAAAAAAACCCTCATGATGAAGAAACCTTTAGCAAAACCAGGTTCAGGACAAGCGGTCATCTGCTTCGACCAGCTGGGTTCGGTAGGAACAGATACACAATGGCACGTCAAGAATCACATGTTAAGATAAAAATAATATCAAATGAAAGCTATTCAATTTTAACAATTCATTTAAGGAAATTAGGTCAATTTGTTCTCTAGTAGTCTAAGCCTATAGCATAACAAGCCAACCCTAATTATAGGATTTATCAAAAAGGAAAGTCTTAAGCCCAGTCTTAAAACTGGACAATGTGTCAGCCTCACGGACAGAAACTGGAAGATGGTTCCACAAGAGAGGAGCCTGATAAATGAAAGATCTTCCTCCCATTCTGCTTTTGGAAACTCTAGCAACCACGAGTAAGCCTTCAGTCTGAGAGAGAAGTGCTCCGTTAGGAAAACATGGAACAATAAGATCTCAAATATAAGATGGAGCTAGATTGTTGAGAGCTTTGTATACAATTTGTATGAATTTGTATAAATACCATTTTGTTGTTTATGTGAGTATAAGCACCTAAAAGGGGAAAAAGTTATGAGAAATAATGACTGACCTTGCTGAGGGACGTCCATTCACGGCGTCTTTATATGCGGTTTCTAACACGTCCACACTCTCACAGTTCAGGTGTATCGAGCACTGATGGTGGGGTCCAGGTTTTCCATCCGGTGTGGGAGATGCCAAGAAGTTTGGTAACTTGTCTATGGCCACTGTGAACATATGTCCCAGCAGTTAGAACCAAATAATAATTTTTATTTTTCAATATTTAGGAAATTGCCTTTATTAGTAGAGTAAAATCTGCATTTTACAAAACACGTATCTGAAGTAAAGCCAGCAGAAGAGTAATAACCCTTCAACAATAAACCTGATAACAGATACTGTAGCTATAGCAGTGTAATAAAAGTTTTTACACGCTTTATTTTTACTACCAATCAGCTGGTCTTTTGAAAAATATGTTTTAATGTACGGTAGTTCTTCAGGTTACAACATAGCTAAGAACAGATTTTAAATGGGATATTTAGGCACTGTTTTACCAACAGCTTGTCACAAAGCTCAGCTTGTTCACTTAAAAACATCTATTTAAAAAAAAAACCGCTAAAGATAACACAGTTTAACACATGCAAAATAGCATTTAAGCACCAACAAAGTGAATTTCAAAGGGCTATTAGCTGGTATCTTGTTATACAACATAAGATCGACTGAAAGATGATGCATCGCTTGGGTTCAGATATCTGATACACCTTTAGTTTTTATTTCTTTAAGACATGACTTTCAGATACTGTTCATCTGCTGTAGACATATTAGAATTGGAACTTTTCCCTTTTTTAACACGTTCACTTTCTTTATTTTAAACCACAAATGGTCAGACGCTGTTTGCAGATGACATTGTGATCTGTGGTGAGAACAGGGAACGGGTGGAAGATGGAAGTATGCTGTGGTGGATGCTTCTACCACCACCACCATGTAGTGTTAGTATTTATTTAATTTACATTATTAGTTACAGATTACATTATGTCTAAGTTTGTTATTTTATTTAGACATATATTTTCTGAAGGGTGCACACTTTAGTTAATATTCGTCTGAATGGTTTACTAACACTTGTTCTTTTGTTTTGAGGTGCTGCAAATACAGATCAGCTGGAGGAGGAAGCTGGAACATACCACTTTTCTAAAAGACTGAGTGGGCGGGGGGGAACTTTATTTGTTAAATTTGGCTTTAGTTAGTTCATTTTGTCACTTTAATAGTCATTTATTATTGATGCTATGTTAAAGTTAGTTTTGCTTTATTTGTTTCATATGTTGTTTAAGCTAATTTTTGTATTTTTTGTCTCTTTATTATGTTGTGCCTCCCTCATGTGGCAGATTTAGGTTACTCCGCCCCGTTTAAGTAGCCCTTTGTTCTTTGTTGGCAGGTCAGTTTTGTTAGTGTTCAGTTGACCTCATTTAAGTTGGGCCCAAATTTGTTATTTATCTTTTGATTTATTTTTCATTGAAATTTGACCCTTTGTTAACTATTTTTTTTGCACATACATGTATCCACTTGAAAGAAGAGGAATGAAAGTCAGCCGTGGTAAGACGGGGTACGTGTGTGAATGAGAGAGAGGCCAGTGGAACAGTGAGACTACAAGGAGCAGAGGTCACAAAGGTGCAGGACTTCAAGTACTCGGGGTCCGTTGTCCAGGAAAATGGGGAGTGTGGTAAAGTGGTGAATAAGAGAGTCCAGGCAGGATGGAGTGGATGGAGAAAAGTTTCAGGAGTTATTTGCGACAAAAAAGTGTCAGCAAAGGTCAAAGGAAAAGTTTACAAGACAGTGGTGAGACCAGCTGTTGTATGGTCTGGAGACAGTGGCACTGACAAAAAGACAGGAGAAAGAACTGGAAGTGGCAGAAATGAAGATGTTGAGGTTCTCCTTAGGAGTGACGAGGATGAATAAGATTAGGAATGAGATCATCAGAGGTATTGCACAGGTTGAACAACTGGGAGATAAAGTTAGAGAGGCCAGACTGAGACGGTTTGGACATGTCCAGAGGATGGACCGTGGGTATACTGGTAGAGGGATGTTAGAAATGCAGCTGCTGGGAAAAAGACAAAGAGGAAGGCCAAATAGAAAATGTATGGATGCAGTTAAGAGAGGACATGTAGGTAGTTGGGGTGAGGACAGAGTGAAATGGAGGAGGATGACTGGCATGTGGCGACACCTGAAGAGGGAAATCCAAAAGAAGAAGAAATGGCCAAATGCACGGGTTGGACAAAAAAATAAAAAAGTGAAAAAGCAACCAAAGTCCAAAGAAAACTGATGTTCAGAAAGAATGAAAAAATACTGATCAAAATTATTTTAAATGATTGCAAGAAAGCCTGGGTCACTGTTAGCAATGAAATTTGAGTAGCTTGGCACCGTGCATCGTTCAGACACATCTGGATTCGGTTTTGCTTGTTGATCAAAAAAATTAAACTACTGCAGAAATACTGAAGCAATTCCCTCTAATTATATTACAGATGGATGATTAGTTGTATGACACAGAGCAGCGCTTACCATTGATCTTTGTTACAGGTGAGGTGTAATCTATCTGATCTACAGCTTTCAAGAATTGAGGAGAAAGGGCACCCTGCAAAATCAAATCAAAGATTCAGCTTTTCTTTCTCTCTCCCATGATGTTGATGCTGATTTACAACGTTACCTGGGGCGTGAGGTGTTTGAAGGTGACATATGGGGTTGCATTTGATAGCACAACTTTACTGCAGATCTCTGTGCCGTCCTTAAGTGCCACACCGTTAGCAGCGCCGTTCGAACCAACGAGGATCTGCTCTACATCCTGCCAAGAATACAGCAGAAACACTTGAAAATAAGCTTCAATGGGTTTAAACAAAGAAGCACAACTTTACCTTCTCTGTGAAAATATCTGCACCGTAGGATCGGGCAGCTTTAGCTAAAGCCTGAGATATGCCTCCCATGCCTCCCTCCACATAACCCCACGCGCCCTTCTCCTTCTCCAGCTCTCCCATCACATGGTGCAAAAGGACGTATCTTTAAAACAAGACAAAGGGATCAGGGTTTTTCAGAAGTCTGCATTTAGTTTTACACATACACAGATGTAATCGTGTCCGCCTGCCACATGGTGCTGTAAAACTCTCACCCACTGCCAGGATTACTGGGACTGGTCATGGCCCCAATCACACCATCAGTGGCCAGTGTTGCCTTCAGTGGCTCTGATTCAAACCACTGATTAAGAATCTTTAATACCAAACAAGAGTCAGTTATTGTGTGCCTACTAAACATCAACTAAAGCATTATTTATTACAAACCTTCATTATCGGCGCAGAAGTAATTTCATAAAAGTCTGGAATATTCCTCCCAAGTTTCAGACCTTTAAATTCAGAAACAGACCTCAGCACGCAGTCAATTAGTTTGTCGTAATAAACGATGACTTTAAGAACACACAACAGACACACAATAATGCACCAAATTTGACCAGAGGCATCAGAGTTGTAGCTGCATCCAGCCTCTTCCGCAGTGACCCGTCTGTAAGGCCAGGAATATCTACAGGTTGGGCGTCCAGGAGAGGGTGGATAGCGCATGCGAGCGTTTCAAGGTGCGCCACAAATTCTGGATAAGCCTGAGAACATGAATGGGTGAGGATGTGCATTAAAATAATGCAAAATATGAAAGACAAGTTAACATAATAGGACTATCCTTTACAACCTTTGCATCCTTCTGGGAGAACTTGACGATCTCATTTTGGGTCTTCATCCGATCTGGACCCAGGATAAGAGACCTTGGTGGAGCCCCATTAACACCGTCCTCCAGCATGGGGGTGAAAGAATGAGGGTTCCTCATGTAAACCTTCAGCCCATGTTTCTGAACGCAAACGAAATGCAGAAACAAAGCCAAAAAGAAAAAAGCTAACCTCGATCTCTTCAAGCCATGCAGACATTAATAGCTAAATACATTTTTTGTGAATGAATGGAATGAAACGTAAATACCTTAAGCTCAAGGTCTCTGTATATGTGCGGCCGCAACAAACTCAGCAAGTACGAGCACCTAGAGAAGAGAAAACCTAGATAGAAAAGTGTTATGTCTGTAACTAACGCAGTAACTAATTCACAATGCAACAAATAAGATATGATGCTCAGTTAAAGGAAAACCGTTTAAAGTTGTATTCTTTATATAACACTGGTTTAGTTATGAAGATGTATTTAGGAATTGTTTGTTGTCCAACTGTTTTCTACTCTGTAATCTATTGCACAAATCAAGTTCTTACATGCAAATTTGTTACAAACTGTTCCATAAGAAATTATAATTGGTTTGATTAATTTTTGGCCTTGATGTTTTTTTGTTTTGTGTTGGTTTTTTTTAATGCAGGTTAATCCTTTCTTGATCTGGTTAGACAAGTTTCCTGTCATACCAGGGACGATCTCCTCTGAGACAGCTGCTCCACCCAGCACGTGTCTGCGCTCCAACACCGCTGTCTTCAACCCCCCCTTCTGAAGATAGGCAGCCTGCACACAGACAAGACCTCCTATAAAACCATAAAGCTGTGCAGATTGTGCAAAAAGTGCAACAATGCATGCAATCAGAAACTCACTGCCACCAGCCCATTGTGTCCTGCAATAAAATACAGAATCGCAGTTAACTCAATATATTGCTTTAGTGATTAAAATATTGTTTGCATGCTGAAAAGAACATATATATTTTTTTGGGGGGTGGGGGGTTGGGGGGGGGGTATTTTTCTGGGCATCTTACTTTTTAACAGCTAAGCACAAGAAGTTCAAAGTTGAACAATATTGGTTATGTCAAAATCTCAGTTTTACAGAGACAACTCGAGTCTCCTAAACTTAAAAGATTGTCTTTTTAAAATCATTATTATTTGTTACATAACAAGACAAGGAAAACGCACAGCTCATGAGTTATTTTAAAAACGTGCAGTAACACCTTCATTTGCTCAGATCTCACCTCCGCCGATGATGACCGCGTCATAATGAGATTTAAGGGATGTGTGATTGGATCTGAATCCAGTCCACACCAGAGACACCGTCCTGCGTCCTCGACTTAACCACTTGGCTGCAGCCATGGCAGTTACAACTTTTCCTTTGATCCCGCCTCTTTCTTCCCCCCACTCAGTAAAGTAGATCCAGCTCAGCCTCAGTAAAGTAGATCCAGCTCAG